AAATTTATGATTTTTTTTTGGTTGTAATTTTCCCTCCTCAAATGTCGAAAAATCCTTACTCATGTATATAATTGTTTGTTGGTTTTTTTGGAGATGAACGCATTTGAAGGTGGTCCTTGACCTCATTTTCTTAAATTCAAATGTTTTCTTTTTGGAAAAGTAGCATATTAAAGGCTGTCTTCATGAAGTAAAAGATTGACACCTATCATGCTGAAACATTTGGCGAAATGGGAAAGTAGGGCACTTTTATTGCCTTGGTTGTGTGAGATGAGTCCGATTGCGAATGCAGCTACCCAGCTAGCCATTAATAGGTCTACCACAAGAGGAAAATAATGCGGTGTTTGGTTGTTTCTTTCTAAGGAGTAAAAATAGAATGTGAAAGATTTAAAGAGAGAGGTTTAGTATGATGAAGTCTCGAATGTTCTATTTGTTTCACGTATTCGAAGTAAAGCCAAATGCCATATTTATTGTTTTGTTTGAATTTTTCGTTCCTCTATTATATGAATGTTGAACTCATCCATTATTACGTACTTCACAAGATAATGGACAATGTCCTTTCGCTCAATTATGATCTTGATTCAACCAATAACATAATTCTACCAAAAAGTTTGCTTTAGCCAAAGAAATTGTAAAAAACAAAAAATTTCGCTTTCGTGTGGATGATAGAAGGCCAAAGTGAAAGTGGAGTCGATATAAGTGGGACGCTCCAAAAAGGCGTGTCTATCTCCCACCAAAGCAAGTGGCGACAGGTTTTCTCACCTTTTTCCCTCTTTATATAAAGGTTTGTAAAAGAATCTGGAAAAGATTTACAGAACACGCATTAAATGACAGAGCAAAAGTTTCTCGCGCATGATGAAGCACCTTTGTGTCGGGTTGATGCTTTATTATCAAATCGGTAATATCTCAATTCTACATGAATATCCATATGTAACTACGAAAATTTAGTATCCATGATTAATTTAGTGAAATCAAACAACACACTTCATATTATTGATAAATAAGATGCTAAAAAATCATATGAATATGCTTGTATAGGATAAGTAGGTTATCCTCCATATCAGGAATATAAAATTATCTTCAACCAACTTAAAATTGAGAACTTGACCGGCCAAATTTATACTTATGTATGGTTTACGTTCAATTGAGGTAATTGTGTTAGTTGCCTCTCCTCAAACTTTCGATGTTGAAAAACTTGACTAAGAAGATGCTTCAAATTTTATAATCATGAATAGAGTACTCTTTTCGATGTATTCAATGATTTTACATCAATCCAAGATAGATCAACTTAGTCAAAAAACTCAATAGTTTTGCAAAATACCATGTAAACATCCAAATCGAGAATTAACAAATCCAACGATTGGCTAAATCGGTACATGTTTGGTTAAAATACAACAGAGTCATATTCGGAGCCCAATGTTTCTCACTTGGAATAATCTCAGGACTACTCTCACCATTTTACAGGTGGAGTATTATACAATGCTAGATGTGGCATGGTATTACCTCTTGTTGACTCCAATTTTAACCCTAACAAGAGAAACTAAATTTTGGGCAAAATGGCACTATAAGTGCCATAAGTTGTGTACGGCGCTCACTTTAGTGCCAAAAGTTTTCGCCGGCTCACTTAAGTGCCAAATTGGAGGAAAAACGATCACTTAAGTGCCAAAAGTTTTTTTTGAATCACTTCAGTGCTAAAATTTTTGAAAAACGATCACTTAAGTGCTAAAATTTTTGAAAAACGATAATTTAAGTGCTAAAATTTTTTAAAAACGATCGCTTAAGTGCCAATCTCAGGCGAGCCACGTCAGCTTCAGAAATTAATAAAAAAAATGGCACGTCGGATTTCCGGCGAAAAGTTGTGTACGGCATCGGAGTTGGCACTTAAGTGATCGTTTTTCAAAAACTTTAGCACTTAAGTGATCGTTTTTCAAAAATTTTAGCACTTAAGTGATCCAAAAAAAACTTATGGCACCAAAGTGAGCGCCGTACACAACTTATGGCACTTGTAGTGTTCTTTTGCCCTAAATTTTGTTAAGGCTTCATTTGTTTTGCGAAAAATTAATGATTTATAAAATATTTTCTTAAGAATAATCACTTGTATAGTTTTAAATAATTGGTCAATGGAAAATATTTTCATTATTCACAATAATTTATGTCTAAATATTTTCGTGGACCATGAAAATATTTTTTATTTATTCATATATGTAAGCGATACAAGCGATAGTCTTTAGGGAAATGTAACGAAGCCAGTATTTTTCTCCCACATTATCTATGCTCAAAATTTCGAAAATAGAAAAAAAAAAAGTATCCATATGGTTATTCAGGCCTCGGTGGTCAGGAGTGTGTTGCTTTAACTTTAGTTTCTGAACTTTTTCTACGGTGAATTTATAGATAAATATCAATTAGTTGACCATTTCTTGATAAGAATTTTAATAAGTCAATTTTTGTAGCTTATTTTGTTACAACCAAAATAATAACGTAAATTATAGAGTAAACGGTCACCGTAAAGAAAACATTACACAAACGGTCTTATCCAGTCTCAATCCAAGGGAAAAATATTACAAAGACTCAATCTATGTAGATCAAAATTATTGTAGGCTCACAGCCATCGAAGGTGCAGGATCCACGTTCTGGTAAACATAAATCGAGTCTATCAATTAACTCTTCCGATTTGAAGGTGTTAACCACCCACTCTATCACTATTCATCAATTCAAGGGTGACTAAAATCGTTTGTGTAAAGTTATTTTTATATTGATGGTGTATGCTAGGATTACTAAAAAAAAAAAAAATTACCAGCTGTCGATTTTTTCAGCCTAAAAAATGACTTGCTATTGACTTTTGGTGGGACATCGAGGAGATACAATTGAAAAAAGATATTTGCAAGCTATCCTTTTTTTCGGCCTAAAAAATTTGACTTTTGTAACCTGATAACCTCCTTCCGACCAAAAAAACAAAAAAACTGATAACCTCCTTCACCGGTTTGTTTCACATAACTTTCTATATGAGAAAGTTAGATATAAAGTTTATTGACTTATTTATAAACAAAAATGAAATATACTAATCTTTGGAAATGATGATAGCAAATATGTGTCAATTAGTTCACTTGATTTAAATATTTTATATAGAGACGTTAATATAAACATAAATATATTCTACCAACCAGGATGACATGTTTTAAAATCATGTGTGTACAAATATCGTTCTAACAGAAGGTTGGCTAGGGTTGCTTGCTCTATTAAATAAGGGCACGGATGTTGGGGATGCAGCACTATTCCGTTGATAGGTAACCGTTATACCATCTCAAACTAGCATGGTCCATTTCAAAGCTATACTTTTACGCGTGAATCGAAATCTAAGTGAAATAGTTTCATATCGGCAACAAGACCAAGTGATATATATACTAATATATTATTTTTGTGAACTGGCTTGACATGACTATTAAATGCTTCACATATGACTTCAACTTTTGAACTATTCTATGTCAATTGGTCTCATCTGGGTCGTTTTTTTACGTAAAATGCACAAGTAAATTAACTAATCAGCATTACATGAATAAATCAAAGAACTTATACCGTACGCAAGGAATAGTCTATTTTTTTCTTTTACAAAAGTAATCATTTTTTTTTCGTTAGTACAAATGAGAATTTTTTTTTTCAATTTGAATACTCAATTAATCCTCACTAAGTGTGACTTTTCAACCCCTATTTCTTCTTTCCCTTTCCTTTCTTTTCCTGCACGAGCGAGCTGTCGGCCACTCTCTCTCCCTTGCTTTTCCTTTTATAGGGCAACTCCACTTTCTTTCTTTTGTTGACTTTTCAAACTCTTTTTATTTATTTTTTCTTTTTTTGTCAAAAAGTCCAAATATTATAGACTTTCTTATACATGGATGACATAGCTAAATGAGCCGAGTAGGTCTCGTTCTCATTATTCCATGCACCAAGCTGACGTGAGCTGATTGCATGAGTGCCGATTGATTTGATGAGACTCACGTGTGACTCATATAATGTGATGGCTTGCATGAACCTAGTGCACATGCTGCCCACTAGGTTTAAAAGAACCCGTCCCTATGAAGATGAAGGAACATTGCACAAGAGACGTGCGCATGATTGTGGCATCGAAACTGATTTAAGAAGATGATTTATAAAACGACCTAGGCATGATTAAGCACCCAACAAGCACCCATTGAATTTTAGTTTAGGACGACAAATTATTGTTATCTTTAGTTTCGTTTGTTGCCGGTTCATATACCAATCCTCGTGCATTTCTTTTGCTTCAGTGTTTTCTGGCTATTGAGAGTATGCAGCAAAAGCTAGATACCTTTCGCTTGGGGAGATTGCCAAGAGGGAGGCCCAGTCTAAGCCGGTCAACATATCCAATGGGATCCACTTTCTCTTAAAAGCTTAAACCAATGAATTATGAGTCAATTTGGATATATTAACTGCTTCATATCATATCAATTCTCCGATATGAGACTTCTTTAATACAACTCGCACGTGCATTTCAACAATCGTCAAATGTTAGGATTAAACGCACAAACACAACGAAATATAGAGTAAAGGCGAGAAAGAGAAATCGAGATACAAGGTTTATCCTGTTTTGCCTTTAAACTAGGGTTACATCCAGCAGAGGATTCTACTATAGTTAGCATCCCTGATCTCTTTATTACAACACTCAATTACAAGAGAGAGAGATTATATATAGGAGTGAGAGGTGCAAATTATAGTGGAATCATCTGGTAGATGTAATCCTAGTTTAAGGGTGAATCAGTATAAATCTTGTGCATCGATTTCTTTTTGTTTTATCTTTACTCTCTATTTCATTATGTTTGTGCGCCTAATCCTAACGTTTGCTATCAGGGCCGATGATTGATTGGTGGCCCATTCTTAATGTGTATTGGTATTTGGTGAATATCTCAAAAGAGGAATCTACTAACCAATGCGGTTTTCGAGCGGTGGGCGTTGTAGTGGTGTTGCAATAGCTTTCATGGTTCGATTTGGAGAAAGAGACCAAGGATAAAGGTGGCCGTTGATTGAGATTCAAATTGAGATGTGTTGGTGCAGATAGATACTTAAATTAAAGGAGAGCAGACCTATGGAGATATGTTGGTGCAGACGAATACTTAAATTAAGTGGGAGCAGATCTAACACCAAGCTCACACGTGAAAAGGAGATTATTGAGATACACATGTGATTTATGTTAGAGAAGTCCCACGTCGGAGAACTAGTATGGTTTGGGGCAGTTAATATATCTAAGTTGGCCCATAACTCAGTAGTATAAATTTTTGAGTAAATGTGGGTCCAACTAGATATGTTGACGGGCATGGACTTGGACTCCATCTTAGCAGTCTCCCCGGACCAAGGTATCGGGCTTCTGCTACGCGCTCCCAAAACTGGCCGGATTCCTTCTGATTGGCCCGACCCGTGTTTGCTCAGCTCTCCCATGCGCCTCCTCCGAACCCATAGCGCCTTCATTATAAGCCACTTCTCCTGAACTCCTCTTCCTTTTCGCTCCTCGAGCATGACATAGAAGAATGCTCTCTCGTTCATGTTCTTCAATGGTAATGGTCCTGTGCTCACCCATCTTGATGAACCAATAAAAGCAAAAGCAGGCATCTTCGTCAATCCCATATTTTTAGCTCCGACATCATATCAACACGTAACAGTCGTAACCCGAACATACCTGAGTTTTCAGGACGGCATATAGCGGTAGTGTGCTGTTATTACAGCGGAACAGGACAAATGCTCTATCCAGAACGCATGAACAGATAAGTGCTGGGCCTCAAAGATTGGTCCTGTATAAGAACAAGGATCGAATAGATACGAATCACGCTCACCCTATCACAAGTCCCGCGACAATAGAACTGACCTTTCCCATGGTGGAAAGAGCCGAAATTATACTGGAACTGGAGCTCGACGGGGAGCATTAGTTTGGCATGCAAGTGTTAAGGGGACAACTCTGTAATAGAAAAGTTTATCGCGTGCCAGTTTATACTCACCAATACAAATAAGGAGGAGGCCAGTTCAAAAGAGGATTGGAAGAGTGCGATGCGAATCGAGCGGAGGATGAGCCGAGACCCATGGAACCAAAAGTCTTCATCTGAGGGTTCAATCATCAAGTCCCTAGCGGTGGCCCCATGCGTCCGAGCAACCTCTTTTACCAGCTGTGCCGTTACACGTTCCGGTTGGGTGCCAACAGCGAGCAAAAGCTGCATAAGAGCAAGATTCATGTTTTTTTCAACCAGATTTCTTTTGGACTCTAGCGTGGGGAGCCGACCAATTCCTGCTGAAGTGCTAACTTTATTCCCATAGAAGCATCAAAAGAACCAAAAAAACTCCTTATGTAGCTATGATAATCATCCTAAAATGTCTCTTTGGCAGTTGAATTTCATTCGGTACCGGAGCAATCTCCGCTTTGCAGCAGTTTAGTTACACCAAAATTGGCTATCATCTAAATCACGGATTCAATGTCGTGTTAGCAAGTACAAGTCCCGTTCCTCTCTTATAGATTTATCTAACGATAGTGTAATCATCATCTGAGAAGCTTAACTCGGCTTTGCAGTCTGCTCTGTGCTCCACTGATTCGAGCAGTCCAAGATAAAACAGAGATGGCATAAACATATGATGCCTGAAACTTTGCAAACTTAAGAAAGCTTGAGGATCTTTATGGCTACTTACGATCAATGGCACAAACGACAACTGAAACTACGCATTAGACCCTGCAAGAAGTACCCAAGAACAGGTCAATAGCTGTAATCGTTAACTGACTCTGAACAGAACAGGGCTTCATACAGAATACTAGTGATTTAAGTCATTATGGATTCTTCAACTTCTAATGGTGAATCACTAGGGAAGTTTCGAAAGACATGACTTTGCGTGGGATGTGCATTCAGGTTTTGGAATGGACTCGCTTGTGAATGCATCTTCAAATGCTTCTGATAATTGCGAGATTCATTCTGATATACGGGTCTTTGATGTCTCTAACCAATAATTTGCTAGAATTCCAGCTGAAACACTGCCGGTTTCCACCGTTTCATTGCTGGCTTCAGGTAGCAAAATAGGAAATTAACTTTCTGTTTATGTTCACTAAGTGAGATAAAACAATCTTTATCCCCTACCTACAAGAAGAGTAGTCTTTTGATGAGGTAAGCAGGGCATCTTAAGAACAGAAGATCCGAGTTGCCACTGGTATCTTTTTTTTTTTCTGGACAATAACAGACTTGCAATCTTCAAGCTTGTACTATTCATCCTTTCGGATCTTAGCAGCCTCCCGCCGCCTCCATTGCCATATCTAAGAGCGCATGTATGTAGTCAAATGTACAACATTGCAGTATTAATCCGATAAGAATTTTGGGAAATTAGGAGGCCGAATCTTGCCAAATGAAGCAACAGTAAAGCCGTGCCTTTGTTTCTACATAGAGAATCGCGGAAACAGAGACAATTACGTGGACTGCCTAGAGCACAAAGATGAAAATGTGTAGATGCTGTAGTGCCGTAAGTGATAACAATGGCACCTTCCCCTGAAAAAGGAAAGGATAAAACACAAAAAGCCATAGCAATTCAAGATACCGACACGACCGAAAGTCCTAAACTATATGTTCAGAACGCAGTCAGATCATAAAACCTTTTAATCGCTTTTGTGTCTCTGCTAAAATAGCTTTCCAATGCACGATAGACCATTTGAACACAATAATCGGTTGCAAGATAGGCTTCGACGAGAAGACAGCGTCATCCTCCGCCAGTTCCACTGCAAGAATTGTCCGACTTCCTGCAAGGAAGCAACCTGTCAGCAAGCGCTGGCAACTTGCAAATCTTCCCAATTCCTGTTTGGAACACCGCCAGGAGCAGCAATATGAAACCCAGTAGCATCAAACCTCCAAGCCACTGCAATACATTCATGCCCAGAACTCTGAAAACGCAATGTATCATTTTGTGCCGCGTTAGTACATAGGTCATTTTCTTTACTTTTCCTGTCTGCTCTCACCTTCTTTGATCTTTTGCAAGGCATCAAGGAGACGCTTCTGCTGTTTCTCGGAGTTTCTGCGATATTTGACAAACTGCATAGTCACTTACTTTACCATGAACAATGTCTTTCGAGAGAGTACAGCACAACGTTGGATATGTCAAGGAACAAAATGCAATTAGCTGCCTCGCCGGCCCAATGAAGGGACCTTTCACAAGGAAAGAGATCACCTCTATGATGCAACAAACTACGGCCACCACCCGTGTCGGCATGAACTCTAACGTTGTCCCCTTGACTCTTGCCTCCGCCATCCTCTCTTGCGGCAACTCGGCATGTGCAAACTCCTCGATTCTTAACTGATGATGAAGTTGGATTTTGAGACAAGATGGAATATGAAGAAGTGGCAAGTTGGCGTCCCACGTTGACAGAAAGTAATCTCTTATTGCCTTGGAGTCATTTGCTTGATCGATATGGGCGAAAGGATGTTCGTACTCGGTAGATAACATCCTCAGCTCCATTTTATTCTGCTCTAATCTTGCACGTTTTAGGAATTCCCACTAACAAGACCCACTTAAAGAACAAACATTTCTCGTATAATTGATAGACTGTTATTGATTTTGTCCACTACATCATTCATAAACCGACCCTATCCATATCTTTTCCAGGCAAACATTGTTGGAGTGGACCTCATGCGACATGCGTGCGTCATGAATGTATTTTGACCGTTTGATTTTGGTGGGCCTGAGTCTGAAACGGTTGAATCCTACCGTGTTGATTGGTCCGGATTTATATAGACGGATGTTCCCGGTCCATCCGGTAGTTCCTTAATGTTCTAGTCTTTTGCAATTCTATGATCCCCATGCCTATTGTCCTAAATCGCAAATTCTTCCTACAAGTAGTATTTTGATTTTGCAAAGGGTCAATCGCAATTTCACACCAAAGTACATGCAGAGCTTGCTGAGAAAAGGAAGAAAATACAATGTTAAAGAAAGACATCATTCATCTGAACAAAACCTGAAGTCAATGAAGGAATAATTCTATGCTCCCTCTTGAGACTTAAACAAATAAAGTCCGTTGCCTCGATTCGAAAATTAGGTTTTTCTTATTAAGTTTTAGCTTAGCTCATTCCAAAATTCACGCAATTCAATCAATCAATGATGTAGATGATAATTACCGCTAGGAATTATTATATACATAAGTAAGTTCTAGGTATAGTCAGTAGATCGCATGTCTAAAAATTGATTTTACAACTTGATGCAATGAGTCCATGACTTCTCATTGGTCGTTTAATATGATTCACATCTTTGAATGTCCTCTTATAACTTGTGACATAATTTAATAAATCAACTTGGTATAACAATTTTGGTATGGTTATACTGTTGTTGTTCATAGCTGTGGTTCTAGAGTACATTGTACCACTTTTGGGAAGTGGTTACTAGCAACTCCACGTGGAATTCCAAGATATCGAATCTCCTTTTTTTTTGTGACATTCTGAATTTCGGCTATAGTTGGGATTTATAAAACGTGTAATTCGTCAGTGTGCTTATAGTAAAATCTCGCCCGGGAACTGATCACTCCCGGTTATTGTTTTTAAATTTGAGATTTCGCTAGAATCGCATTCGATCGAATTTTGCCGTTATTTAGAGCCCAAACTTTGGTGTCGAATTTCTGGGAGTTCCGGGACGAATTTAATTGGACGGTGTCGATATTATTGTGGCCAGCCTCGAGATTACCCGGGATATGTGAAAAATAGATTTTTGATCGGGTGCGAATTTAGACTAATAGACCTCTCGTAACGTGTTTTGAGTTATTTTCTTTTGCCCCTTTTTCTTATATTATTAATTAGGATTTTCGTGGACCGTTAGATTATTTTTGAGTTCGAACTGTGACCGTTGGATCGCGATAATCACCTTTGACTTTCTCTCTCTCCCTCCCTCTTTCTTTCTCTCTCTCCTCTGTCTCTGCAGCGCACGTTGGCCCCCCCATGCACGTGTCCCTTCACGCGCATTTTTCCCCTTCCTGTCAGACCTTCTCTCTCCTTTCCTTCTCTCTCCATTCTTCTTCTTCTTCCTTCTTCCTCCCGCAACTGCTTCTGCTCCTGCTTCTGCTCGCCCCAGCCGACGCCGACCGAGCTCGCCTCCAGCCACGTCGCCGTCGCCGCCGTCGCCTGACCGCCGTCGCGCCGTCCGCCAGCCACCACCCCGACCGGCTGTTCTCTCTCTCTCCTCTGCGCGAGCAGCAGCTCGCCGCTGCGTTCGCCGCGGCCGAGCTCCACCAGCCGTCGGCCAGCTCGTCCGGCCGCTCGCCTAGCACCGCCGCCCAGCCAGTCGCCGCCGGTTCGCCCCTCTCCCTCAGCCCCGATCTCTCTCTCTCTCTCTCGACTCACCTTTCCTCCCCTCCAGCTCGTCGTCGCAGCGTCGCCATCGCCGCCGCGTCGCCGTCGCCGCCGCAGCCCCGGCCCGGCCGGCCAGCCAGCCAGCCCCGCCGGCTAGCCCCGGGCCGTGGCCGAGCAGCCCAGGCCAGCCCAGGCCGTGGCCGAGCTCGCCCAGGCCATTGCCCAGCACCTCGCCCGTCCAGCCAAGCGTGTCGCCCATCCGGCTCGCCCGTGCGCCCCGGGCACGCCGTTCGGCCACCGCGCCCGCGCGCCAGGCACGCCGATCGGCCACCGTGCCCGTGTTGGCCGGCCAGCGCGCCCGTTGGCCCGCGCCCGCGCCTAGTTCGGCACTGTTCACCCGGGCCATTTTAGGTCCGAGCCGATTTTCTCCGGGCCAAAACCAAGTAAGTGACCTCCTAATCCTTATTTAGGACTATGGGTATTTTTAGACTTGTTTAGGACGTGATTAGTACCGGTTTAGTGGCTAAACGTGGATTAGGGTCAATATTCGTATGTGCGTATTTGTTAAATTAAATTGTGATAATTGTGGGGCTTAATTAGTGGCTAATTATGGTGGGTTAAATATCCGTATTGTCGTGGCGTGTGTGGGGAAAATTGACGTGTGATTGTGGCCGGCTTGAATGTCGGATCGTGAGATTGTGATTTGGAATTGGGACGATTGTGGGTGCATATTTGTGGCTATTGTTGGTGAGTCAATGATTGGCTTATCGTGGCGGTTGTGAGTGGAATTGATAGCTGATTGTGACCGACTTGAAGGTTAGGTTGGTGGAATATTGTGGTGAGCATGCCTTGAGTTTGATTGGTACGACTTGTGAGAATTGCGAATTGTGTTGTGGTGCATGTGCATGAGAAAAGCCCGGATTGATCGGAGGGCTGCCAACCTGAGGCGTAGTTACGCGGGTGTGGCGAGAAAGGCATGACC